GTACTTTAAAGTGTATAAATAAGTTACCCGGGCAATTGATTTACATTAGCCAATCAAACGAATGTCTGACCATGAGCTACACCCACAACCGTAACCGGTTGTATCCCAAAAAATTCATTGGGACGTTTCTACGGCATTACTAGTTGTGACATCTGTGTATTCCAAGTCTGTCAGATATGCAATTTCGGCTCAAAAACCCCATTTACTCTTATCCGGCTAATTTCTTAGAAAAGGTTCTCTAATCGGATCTTTATAATAAGTATGAACAACGATTTCCGTATACAGTATCTATTGTTACTGCTGATGCTGAAATTTGGATTTTCGATTTGACATTATAAGCATGCTAAAATCCATATATACACTTATAAATTTTAGCTCAAAATTCTAACTCATCCCTAAAAAAATAATTTCTCAAAAAATTTTAAAACTTTATAACAAAATAGGTCCAAATTTCAGCATCAGCTGCGACATCTATTTAAGAAAATCAAAGAATCTTGAAATTCTGATTAGTAAACATTAAGATCAGATTATAACTGTTTTCCAAGGTAAAAACAACGATTTCATATACCGAAGAACCAGGAAGTTCTGATCCGATTAGAGCGAGCTTTGAAATTCCGGAAATCTAAAATAAGTTGATCACACCTTTTTGTGGAAATTATGGAAATATCATCTACGTTCGCTCACACCATTTTGAAAATGTCTGTGATTTTTACTCATTTTAACTTTCAGTTTCAACTTAAGATATAGAAATAGATGCTTACATCTTGTACTATTCATGTTGGTTTAGTGCTAATGCATATAATCTGTTATTGATCAATTATAACGTCATATCTTTTATTTAATCTCTTTGTCTCTAACGGGGACCCATTTGTTCTACGACTGGCATGTGCACATTTGCTCAAAGCAATTTTAGTGTATGCATAAAGCAATGATTCTTTTCGATTTTTAACAGCTGCCCTACTTTGTTTAGTGCGTCGAAAGGGCATCGAGGGTGCGTCGAGTGTAACCCAGGTTGCATAAGGAGAGTTTCTTCCTGCGTTATGAATACAACGTAAAATTTCCAAATATATAATACGTGTAGAAATTTTACTTTGTATTCGCAACGTAAGAAGAGGCTCTCCTTATGCGAACCTGGGTTGCACTCGACGCACCCTCGATGCCCTTTCAACGCACTAAACAAGGTATGGCAGCTGTTAAAAATTGAAAAAAAAACCACTGCTTATGCATAATCGTTAATTGCATTTTTATTACATAATACAATTTCTTTTGCATAAATTTATAGGATTGATACGTAAAATAATTAAGTGATCTACATAAAACAATTAAGTGATTTACATATATTAATGCTAAGTATTGTAGAACAAAGAATACATGCTAATGATTCGAATAATAATTTTTTTTGAGATCTAAGATTAGGACGAGTTAATAGTCAAATACAGTAATGATTAATCCATGATAGAGTATATTGTTATTAATAATTGATATTCGATTTTTTTTCACATTTTTTTTTCTAATTGCAGTAATTAATCGATTATATATCTGATATAGGTAGATAAAAATTTCTAACTCATACGCTCATATTACCTATGCCATGAGGATCTATAATCGTATATGCACGTATTGTTGTTACGAGTTTTATAAATGATCAGTATAGAATTAAAATATCAGTATATATATTTTTTCTCTAAAGCTTACGTTGCCATTAAATTAACAACAAAATCATATAGACAAAAATAAACAATTAACAACAAAATCATATAAACAAAGATTAACAATTTCTATTCTAGTTGGAATTTACATTGATTAATTTTTTATGCAGAAAAACCAATATAAAATTGTTACTGACAATACATATTGCTACAAAAGCGTTTAGTTCACTGCAAAACATGAAACTATTTAAAAGTATAACTTATACAATTAAAGAATTTTCAAATGGTTTCCTTTAAATATTAACTAAAATAAGCAAACTAGTAATTACTTTGGTATCATAATGCAAACAAATTTAATATCAAATATTAAATTTCATTCATAATTTGCAAGTATGCTTTAACTTTCTAAAATGATCGAACTGATGAATATGAAGTAACTAAAGATATAAATTGAGGTGTAAACTGCACTTTTCCTTAATTGCGCTTTGAGCTTTTACACTTCTCTCTCCTTTATTCCTCTTAAATCCTACAATATTATAAATCCTCTAAATCCTTAATCCTTACATCTCAAATCTTCCAATATTTAAAAAATCCTTTGTAATCATGCTCGCGACTAAATTTCTGTCTGTTGCTGTTGCTATTATAGCCATTTTCACGATAATGCGGACGCAAAGTTATGCAGTACAAATGCGAATCTTAATATCCGCGAACAACCATCTTTAAATGCCAAGATTCTTCGTGTTGCTCCTAAAGGTTCTAATGTCGATGTTATTTGTCAAACTACTGGCGACACTGTTGACGGTAAAAACATTTGGGACAAATTAGAAGATGGCACCTTTTGTTTTGATGCTTACGTAGATGGTGCTGCTGGTGTTCCACGCTGCGATACACTGGCGATCATAAGTAGTGCAACAAAAAAAAATTTTTACTTAGATCGCATTATTTCCCGCAATTCTGGGTG